GGCCACATAATCCGTTTTAGGACCAATATACAATGGATAACTACTATTAAAGTTGAAAATCCTTACTACCACTCACAACTCGCACGTGTTCGATCAGAGTAATAGGAGCGAAGCGATGGACCGTTGAGGCCAACAATAGTGTATACATGAGTGTAATTTGAAAATATCTTGTGTAAAGCTAATAATATTATAATATATCTTTGTGTATAAAGGTGGAAAGGTAAACCCTCTACACCAAGTCACAAGTCCACAAGCTTCCAAATTCCAATCATCAAACACCAAAAAATGGGAGAAATTGGAGCCAAGCGTTGGAACTTTGGGGCCAATGAGGTGGTTGAAGATGCATGCTCTCAGACTGTCCGTGATTTCCTGAACCTCCTCGTTGATAATCTTGACCGCAATGACGCCAGACCAGTCATCCCTCTTGGACTCGGCGACCCTTCTCCCTTCCCTTCCTTCCGTACCGATCCGGCCGCGGTCGAAGCCGTCTGCGAGGCTCTCCGTTCCTCAAAGTTTAACCACTATCCTTCTCTTTCTGGCCTTCCTCTCACTAGGAAGTACGTATGCATGATTTCATTTCTTATGTGACATTACATGATTATTAATTTACGTTTCCATTTCTATTACTAGGTTTTGCTTGCTTGAGTTTTTTTTTCTCCTCATTTTGTGTTTTTGTTTCAAATTTGCTTTGTTGCCGACTGTTCTTGCTCACTTGGTACTCAAGTGTCATGTTTTGCCTCAATTTTTTCCGTGAGTTAGTTTACGTGTCCTCAAAGGCAACACTCTATAGCTAGCGTTCGTTTACTTGGTTTGAAAATGTGGTTTGAGGAGTCACATAGACGGGGAAACCCCCTTGAATTTGTGGGTACATTTCGTTTTCAGGTCGAATGGGTGATTAGGTCTTATGTGATTTCGATTATGAGTGCAATTTGGTGCTAATTAACTTTGAGAAAGGATTTTGATAGACTTGTTGTTCCTTAATCAACAGGGCTGTTGCAGAGTACCTCTCCCGCGATCTCTCTTACCATATCTCTCCAGATGATGTTCATCTCACAGTTGGTTGTCATCAAGCCATTGAGATCTTGATCTCAACACTCGCCGTTCCTGGTGCCAACATTCTGCTGCCTAGGCCCACTTACCCGATGTACGATTCCCGAGCATCTTTAAGCCAGCTCGAGATCCGTCGCTACGACCTCCTTCCGGAAAATGGTTGGGAGGTTGATCTCAATGCAATTGAAGCTCTTGCAGATGACAAAACCGTTGCTCTGGTTCTTATCAACCCCTGCAATCCTTGCGGAAACGTTTTTTTGCGTCAACATCTGCAAAAGGTCTCTGCTTTCTTCTTCCTAGCTAGATTCTTGATACTTGGTACAAATGTATCTTACTTACTTTGGAATGGAATATGTTATTTGGATGGATGAAGATTGCAGAGACTGCTTCCAAGCTTGGAATACTTGTGATCGCAGACGAGGTCTATAAGGATATTGTGTTTGGAGACAAGCCATTTGTGTCCATGGCGGAGTTTGCAGAGATTGTGCCAGTGATGATGTTAGGAGCAATATCCAAGAGATGGTTCGTTCCTGGCTGGAGATTTGGTTGGATGGTGACTCTTGACCCTCATAACATCATGAAAGATTCTGGTGTATGTTGCTTAACTCTTCGATTCGAGGTTAATCTTTCTCAACAACCATCAGTTTTGACTGTTTGTTTCTTTTCTCTATTAGCTTGTTGGGAGTCTTGTCAATGTCCTCAACATGTCGACCGATACCACGACTTTTATTCAGGTATGATGATTGCATGCATTTTGAGCCGAGTAACACATTTTGAACCTTAATTTGGTCCAGAAAGAAAAAAATATATTCCCTCGATGCTAGGGCGCAATTCCTGATATCATTGGGAAGACAAAAGAGGAGTTCTTCTCATCGAAACTCGGAACTCTAAGAGAATGTGCAGAGACTTGTTACGAGGAGATCAAGAAGATCCCTTGCATCACTTGCCCTTACAAACCTGAGGGGTCAATGTTCACGATGGTAATTATTACATCTAAAATGATTAAAAACTCAATCTCAAGGCCAAATACAAATTCATTGTTGTGTAGGTCAAGTTAGATCTTTCGATGCTTGAAGATATAAGCGATGATTTGGAATTCTGTTGCAAGTTGGCTAAAGAGGAATCTTTGATCATCCTACCAGGTTTCTTCTATTTATACTAACTCTAGTTTTTGTTAAACGAGAGTTACTTGCGGTTAAAGTAATCGATGCGATGATTGTTCTCTTCTTGTAGGTCGAGCTGTTGCGCTTAAGAACTGGCTACGCATCACTTTTGCGGTTGAGCTCGAGGTTCTTAGAGATGGGTTTGTCAGGCTAAACAACTTTGCTCAGAGACACTCCAAGAAGAAGACATAACTCTGTTTCGTTCTCCACAGCCAAAAGCAAACTAGATCATTTGCCTTGAGCTTTGTAATAAAAGTTTTAAACCTTTCGTCTATGTTATTTCAATGTTTGTGATTTTTCTCTGTTTATGTTTGCAAAACAAAATTGTTTCGACCGTTG